GGGGCGGGTGGCAGGCTGTGCGAACGCTGGGACAGCAGCGCTGTTTTTCCTCGGTTTCCACAGGTGTGCTCGGGGCCTTGCCCGGGGGCACAAGGGCTGCCTCTGGGCGCAGCGTCTGGGGCCAGCGGGGCCCTGGCTTGGGCTGCCGCTGGGAAACGGGCTGAGGGAGCCTTTTGTTCGCATGCCACGTAAAGAGCTCGTTGTGTCGAGGTCTGCAGGCTGTCACGGAGCGAGGGCAGTTGCCTCCCTGGCACGGGTGCCTCCCGGCACAGATTGGGTCAGCATTCTCCTTGGGGAGAACTCTTCGCTTCTGCAGGCAGACCAACCCAGTTCTGCAGTTTCCTTGTTTCTGGGATCTGGGGCAGAGCCTCAGGGGCTGGTGGCAGATGACGTTGCATGCTAAGATCAGAAAAAAATGAGTTCCTGGGTGGAATGGGCAGGAGCAGGAAGGGGTAGAAGCCCATCTGCTATGATCACGATGGGCTGGAAATCCTGCCGCTCCCCCTTGATTGACTGTTTAGCTCTGTCATTTGAAAATGACAGTGTAGGAGAAAAGCCTGTGTGTGGTAGTCACTCACAGGATGACTGAGCTGCCAGTGTGACACAGCCGTGAAAAAGGTAAGCATGGTCTTAGGCTGTATCTGCCGTGGTGCTTTTAGCAGAGACGGGAAGATTAATGCCACCTTTTTGCCATTAATGCCATGAAGAACTGGTGAGATCGTGGCTGGAATATGGCATCTGTGTTGAAGCAGGCAGAGGAGCAAGGCAGGAGAAATCGGGGAAAGGGGAGGCTGGCTTGACAGGGCAAGACTAGAAGAGCTTGACTTTTTTTGGCCTGGAAAAGAGGAGGCTGAGAGGGGCAGGGTCACCAGCTATAAATACAGCAGGAATGTAAACACCGTGGAGGCGGAAGAGCAAGAGCCATTTAAACAAAAGAACTGCTGGTATGAGAGCAGGTGAGGATGGATTTACAGGAATGGGATTTATCACTAGAGCTGTGCTTTTGGGTAAAACCGTTTATAGGGGAGAAGCAGCAGAAGTGCCTTGAAATGTTGCATGATGAATTTGAAAGGATGATCAGAACCTTGTCTTAGCCCCGATGTCTGTGTTAGCCGGAAAGGGTGGATGCTTTCCACCCTGGGATCCTGCCCCCTTGGTAACAGCCAGACCGTCCCTGTTGGATTTACGCCCTTTAGGCTTGTGGCAGAAGCTGCCTGGAGTCCGTACGGGGTGTAGGTATGACCGGTGGTAACCCATGGTTCTGAGTGCAGGGCTGGGCAGTACTTGACCTGGTGTTTTGCAGGATGGTGGGTGCCTTGCACACACACACCCACACCCACACACGTGTGTGTGTGTGTGTGTGTGTGTGTGTCTGCGTGTGCCTGGCAGGAGGCAGGGGCTGTTTCCATTCCTTGGAGCTGCAGACAAGGGAGATTGACTGTGTGGGCCAGGGAATGCTCCCAGTCTTGGAACTAGTCAGCTGGAAGGCACAATTCCCCTTTCTGAGCTTTTAGCATTTGCTTTTGGGCCACTGCTCGCCTTGTTAGTAGTAGCTCTGGTGCTGTTGCTTGTTCCTTGCAGGCATTGCAGTTGTCACTCAGGGCAGGGAAAGTTTGTGGAAACAGGGGGGATTACATGGGAACGGCTGTTTTGGGCAGAAAGCATCCCTTACCTTGGATGGGAGCAGTAGTGAGGACTTGCAGTACAAAGGTATCGCCCTGCTGTGGCACCCTGACCATCTTTCCCCTGAAGGCCTAAAGGGAGCTGGTGGTTGTAAGTGAGATGCAAGCTGGTAGGTCTGGACTGGCCAGGAAGGAGAGCTGTCTGAGGAGGGTGTGAGTAAGCTTGGTCCTGCTTTGAGGCTGGTCCCTGGGTTTCTCAGCTCCATATCAAATCTTACTTCTCTTCTCACAGGAACTGAAGGGCTTCAACTCACTCGATGATCTTCTCCATGTCAAAGGCATCACCACCCGCATCTTGGAGCTGAACAGTCAGCGGATGACTTGCAGGAGGAGGCCAAGCAGCGAAGAAGCTGCGAGGGTGAGCCCTGGTCTGCAGGGGGACAGTAAAGCTCCTGTGCCTCAGGTAGGAAAAGAAAGGTAGGGTTCCCCTGCCTACCTGGTATGGCGGTGATCCTCCCTCCAGCAGAGCAGGAGTTAGGGAGGGAGATCTCATGCTGGGAGAGGTGGTAGCTGGTAGAGGGACAGAGGAGGTTTACGGGGGAGGAGACATATCTGCTTTGGGCACTGGAACAGGGAGGCCCAAGGAAAGGTGCCCTTTCAAACGGCCTGTCTACAATCTCCCTGTAAGGTGGCAGCTTGCTTCAGGGAGCATCCTGACAGGGAGGCTGAGCTACTCTGGGCCCAGCTGGCTTTGTGGTGTCCTGCTGGAGGCTGGAGTAGCCCCCTGAGCCTTGCCGGGAGCTGCTCTGGCTGCCGTGATGCGTCTGCCCCAGCGTCCCTGATAGAAACAATGCTCTGACCCCAGAGGACACTCGTGGCTTCCTGCTGCCTCCCCTGCCCCAGAGCAGCTAGCCATCTGTAGGTCTCCTGCAGACAGTTGTTAAATTCCACTAATTGTTCATTGCTGGAGTCCAGAACAGGGTGTGGAGAGAGATTCTTCCCCTGGACCGACAGCTGAGGAGGCCAGAGTCCGTGTCTTTGCCAAGCTCTCTACCCTGTCATCCGCCTTGTGTGCGGAGAGTGGTGGCCAGCGTGCTGCCTGCTTGGGCTGGCATGCACCCAGCTCGGCTCTGGGGACTTCTTCAGGAGTGCATCTTCCTGCGGTGCTGTCTGTGGGGCTGAGGAAATTCACTTGCCTAAGAGCAGCTCTGCCCTGCCAAGCTCTCGAGCGCGCTGTGTGGGCAGGGGAGGATGGTTGTTGGAAGGTGTTTTACTGCCTGGGAGATGTCAGCGACTGTTCTGCCCCCGTGCTGCCCCAGGAGCATCGTCCCGAGGTTTGTTATCATCCAAGACCTAGATGTGACCCCCAATTCTAGATGCCAGAGGAAGTGCTTGAGAAGCCCGGGTTCAGTGCTCCCCCCTGAAAAGGTGTGTCCAGATGGGCTGTTGTGTCGTGCTTTCTCACCTGGCCATTGCCTCTCTGCCCGAGAGTCCAACCCTGTTCCAAGCCCACCTGCCAAACAGGGTCCAGTCTGAGTGGTGTGAAGAAATGACCCATCTGCCTCTGATCTGGGGAATCTGTCTAGGGCTAGGCACTTAAGCACATGTCCACTGAGGCCTAACTTCTAAATGTACATAAACCCAGCCCTAACTGCAGTAAACATTGCAGTGCTTGGTAGGAGCCCTATAAAGCAGCAGGATTTTTCCTTCCCCAGGTGTATTTTTGTGTTGTGACCAAATCACCTCTCCGTTTCTTTTCTTTTCCTACAAAATATTTTCTCCAGATTTTGAATCATTTGGGGGAGGAGTTTGAGCAATATTTTCAAGTTTTAAGCATTCTGTTTAAAAACGTGGATTGGGCATTGCAGGACTCGAGCATATAGGGCAGCACAGGGGGTAGTACTGCTTTCCTGCTTGCAATTCTTCCCTGTTCAGATTTTTGAGCCTGAAGCTTGTGCTGAATGCAACCCCTCAATCCTTTTCAGTTACTGCTTTACATGATGCGCAGTCCCTGGTGCCTAGCTGGCCCTGCTCTCCCTGTCTTTAGATGGAGAACATTGCCTCTGGGTGTATTGAAATTCATTTAATTTGGGTGAGCCCAGCTTACCAACTGATGCAGATCACACCGTGTGACTGTCCTGTCCTTGCTACCTACCCAAGTGTCAGTCTTAAAATGTAATCAGAAAAGATTTTATCTACTTCCATATTATGAATAAAACAAATACTGACTACTGTGGTTTTACACACGCACCCCCCCTTATGGGTCTGCATTAGGCCCGTCAGCAGAAAATCTGCAGTTTTCCATTAACAGGTACGTTTTGAGATCTGTTCACTGGCTCTTTCTTCATCTATGCCATCTTGCCCAACAACCCGTTAGAGGCTGTGGCATGCCAGTGTTTTCATCAGAATCCTGTGCCCTGGTCAAACGCTTAGAAGTGTGTAAGTACCTCTCATCGATGTGATTTATGTAATTGGTTTTTTTAACCAAATGTAACACTTCAAGGAATAAAGTCAACTTTATTGGAAAAGACCTATTTTCATAAAGTCTCATCAGCTGTTACAAAGCATGTTCCTGTCACTTATCTTTTCTCGTTGAATCCTGCACCGGCCTCTCTGTTGCCAGATGTCAAAGACTCGTTTTTCTCCTGCCTTCCTCAGTTTTAGTACAACTTCCACACTCTCCTGGTCTTTGCAGTTTCTTCTGTATTCCAAGGTTTACCAAAAATAATTGCTGTGGGCCAATGATCTCCTGTACTACTCTCTAGGACTCTTAGGTGCAAATTATCCTGGGCTGCTGATTGAGATGTTTTATTGGTGTATTGGAAAACAGTTCCTCATTCCCATGTGATACAGGGACGTTGTTCTGCTTCCTCCAAGTAATTACTGAATGCTTCTGCTTTTTTTTTTTTTTTTTTTTGTGGTGTTATTCACAGCACTGCTTTCTTTGGGGAGGAAGGGTGCAGGTGGCATTAGATGGGCACACACTACTCACGACCTCTTGAGTAATCGTTGCTCCTGGTCAGATTGGCTGGAGGGCGAAGGGACCTCTGCACCATGCTGAAGGCTGAAATGCAGCATGTGCCTCCTTTCTGATGCTGGGGTCCTGCCTGGGCATGGCAGCCCACACGTGCAGCAGCTCTGCTCCCTGCTTTGACACACAAAGGGCAGAAGGCTGTTCCCAGCTGCAGGCAGGGAGGTGGAGCTGGTGCTAGTGGGTTTGTATTGTTCAGCACTGCTGATGCTCCTGCAGTATTTGTGTTTTCTGCTCAGTCACAGAGTTGCTGGCTGCCACGTAATTTGGTCACGTTGCAGCTGTGCTTCCCTGTGGGGCTGGGAAGTGACCTGCCTCCAGATTGTGCTTGGCCGTAGGTGCCCCGTGACCTCAGAGAGCACTTTAGCTCAGTAGTCTGCTCCCCTCTTACCATCTTTGGCTCTGCTTAGCTCATCACCCCCTCTTTCGTACTGCAGAGGGAAGCCTTTGTATTCCTTGGGCCATTGCTCTGACTGGCAGCCCCCTCAGCTCCCCAGCATGTCCCCCAGCCTGGGCCCCAGGGCACCCTGAGAGCTGGGACGCAGAGCTGCAGCAGACAGACCTGACCCTGCCTCTCCCTGTATTGTAGGTGGTGGCTGAGGAGGAGGATGTTTCGGGCCCCTGGGAGCCGGAGCGCTCTGGGAAAGGGAGCCCAGGGTCAGGACCGGAGACTGACAGCTCCAGTGGGCGAGGGACGCAGGAGCCAGTCAGCTCCACAGTCTGCAGGGAGCAGGAGGAGGAGGAGGAGGAAGAAGAGGAAGAGGGGAGCTGCTACAGTGAGGAAGGGGAGGATGGCAGCAACGTCTACTTCTATTACACCATTGGAGAGCGCTGGATAGACTACCTGCAGCGGACAGAGGATGGTGGCCTCCTCCATCACGTGCGGCCCAAGGTAACCCTGCTGGGAGCGCAGCCTCAGGCAAGGGCTTTGCCCCAAAGAGCAGGGCTGCCCGTGCAGTTGGTGGCTCTCCGGCAGGAGCTGACACTGGCATGTTGCCTGTGGTCCTGTCCTGGTAGCTGGTGGCCTCAGAGCCTACGGGCACCCACTGCTTGCCGTGGCGGTGGTGCCAGAGTGGGCCATGGGGTGCCGTAGCACTTAAAGCTCCTGCTGCATGGGGTGTGTGTCTGTCTGTCATTGCCGCTGCAGACCCCCAAGACATGCCGGGGTGCTGCGGGCCAGCCAGGGAGCTCGGGGCTGTCAGCTGGGTGCTGGCTGGGCTGGGAGTTCCGCAGTGCAGATCATGCTCGGCCGTTGTCGGCCTGCCTGGCTGTTAGGGCTGGGGGAAGGAGGCACTGTCCCAGTCTGTGCGAGCGCTGCTGGCTGTCCCCAGCCGTGCCCGTCCCCAGTGGAGCCACCCTGCTCTGCACTGGGGTCCCTGTGTCATAGAGCAGAGCCTGAATTGGGGCAGCAGGAGTCTGCTGGGAGGGTCAGGCAAAGGCCTCAGGGAGGTTTCTGCAGGATGTGGGCACTGTGGTGAGAAGCCCTGGCCAGCCCTGAGCGCAGGACTGCAACTAGTGCCCAGGTCAGTTACTGGAGGGAAAGAGCCTCCAGCTTCCTACCTGGGTTGGAGGAGCCCCGTGCTCACCTTTTGGTGGCTGCCAGCACTGTCTGGTAGCCACCCTGCTCTCCCCCGTGTTTCCTGTTAACCCTGCACCTCTTGTACGGAGTTAGAAGGATGTAGATTCCCTTTGATGCAAGCATGTCAGGGTACAGTCTGCCACACATCCCAGCACAGCTCTCCCTGTAGCTGTCAAGTTTAGTGGGGTATGCTGAGCAGCTCTAGGGCCCGGTTGTAGGGCTGGTCTGCTAGGAGGCTTCCACATGCCGAGTTCCCTGCTCAGGCTGCAGGTCTGCCTGCTCCGTGTTGAACTGTGCCTAGAGAAGGGCCAAGCAGACGTACCAATAGGTTTTCTTAGCCACTGTTTTTGTCCCTGTGCAGCTGTTTTGCTGACTTTTCCCCATCAGGTCTATCTGATTAGTCCCCTTGGAAGGACCAAGTTCCATTTCTCCCACAGAAGTTAACTCTTCTGCCAGCTCTAGAGCTCAGGTGGCCTTCAGCTTCCCTCTGCAGGTCCCCAACATGAGCATGGACTCAGAAGACTTGCTAGGCTGGGTGTCCTACTCTGTTACTTTTGGCAGAAAATCAGTGACCCAGAATGTGCACAGAGGGCTCTGCTCCAGCCTGCTTTAACTTGCCTTCTCCTTGCAGATGAAGCGCAAGTCGGAGAACGGCCTGGATGGCAGGGCCCTTTCCCCCGGTAAAAAGCTGTGCAAGGGCTCTGAGTACAGCAGGTAAGATGACTGCTCTGCATGCTGAGCAACAAGTTGACCTGCGGGGTGGGAAGACCTCCTTTGACCAGTCCCATCCCTCAGTCATCTAGATGTCCTGCTGAGATTGTGGAGTCTCCATCCTTGGAGAGATACAAAAGCCATCTGGGTAGTCCTGCTTGAGCAAGGGATTGGACCAGATGACCTCCGGAGGTGCCTCCAGCCTCAACCAGTGTGTGATTCTGTCATTCCGTAGAGCAGGCTGGGCTAAGGGGACTGCATGTGTAGCTGTGGTCCTGGTGGAAGTGATGGGGAAGGGGGGTAGCTTGGCTGGAGGCTCATAGCTAGTGGTTTATGGGGACCTCTGTTCTGAGAACTGTTTGCACAGTGTGGCCCAGGGTAGCATTGGCATGTCTCACCTTTGCTTTGGTCTCTCCACGGCTGTGGTCCAGGACACTGGGTCCCTGCATGCCCAGTCCCACCACCACCTTTGGCGACCTGCGCAACGCCAAAGCAGGCCAGGCACGGCGCCGCCGCATCCCCTCAGTTGCCCCTCCTCCCGAGCTGCAGGACTGGCTCCGCACCTTCCAGGTAGGCTCGTGAGCCTTGCCAAAGGGCTCACCTAGGAGGGCACTGAGAAGCTTTGGGTTTGACGGGCAGGCAGGAGGAGAGCCAAGCCCTAGGGAGTCTGTCTGCATGAAACCCACCACAGGCAGGGGTTTGGGTCCCACGGTAGATTTTTAGTGAGTTTTTGCCTCAGGTAAAGGAGCACAGAAGTGGCGTTAGCCCCCCTCTTGCTCCCTTTCGTCCTGGAGTGGTGTTGCTTTGTCCACCATCACACAGCACCTGTGTTCCATCTTATGTGACTCATGGAGCTCCCAACCCCGTCTCTGTGGCTCCTCTCTATCTTGGGATCTAGGTAGCAGAGCCCTGGTCTGCTCCAGAGGCCCGGCTAGCCTGTCTTGCCCGTGCTGGTTGGTGTCTCTGCTAGGGTTGGGGTGGGGGCATAGGCACTGCACAGAGCCACAGGGGAGCCTGTGAGGGCCTGCCATGTGTGCAGGCATCGTGACTGATGTCCCTGTCCTCAGCGGTGGAGTGGCCCAGAGAAGCTTCTTGCTCTGGATGAGCTCATTGATCGCTGCGAGCCCTCCCAAATCAAGTACATGATGCAGGTCATTGAACCCCAGTTCCAGAGAGACTTCATTTCCCTGCTGCCCAAGGAGGTGAGTTGAGGCAAGGGACAGGCTGGCCCTGGTGCTGGGCACCAGTTACCAGCCACGGGAGCCCACTGTGCCCTTGTGACTTGGCTTCCATTCCTGCAGCTGGCACTCTATGTCCTCTCATTCCTGGAGCCTCGGGACCTGCTCCGTGCTGCCCAGACCTGTCGCTACTGGAGGGTCTTGGCTGAAGATAACCTGCTTTGGAGAGAGAAATGCCGTGAAGAAGGTAAAGACCCCTCCTCCATATAGCACGTGGCACATTGAGGCTGGGATCTGCAGTGGGGTAGCCCACAGCTCCCACGGATGGGCATCATTTTAGCTCCCCAGTAGGGTGAGGGCATGGACCACCTGTGTACCGTCAGGCATCCTGCTGTGTTTTCCTCCTGCAGGCATCGAGGAGCCCTTGAACCTGCGGAAGCGGCGCCTGCTGAGCCCTGGATTCATGTACAGCCCCTGGAAATTTGCCTTCATGCGGCAGCACAAAATTGACATGAATTGGCGCAGCGGGGAGCTTAAAGCCCCCAAGGTGGGTGCTTTCAGGAGTCCTTGCTGAGAACCAGGCTCTAGAGCTTTGATGTGTAGGAAGCTGGTACAGGAAGGAAATAGCAGAGAAATATTCATGACCAATAGGATGAGAACAACACTAAGAATTTTAAAAGTGCCTCGAGAAAAGATTCACAAGTCTGGCCTGTCTTCAGGAGGCACAGGCCAGAGGCATTCACCTGGAAATATTTGAATTTAAAGGTCCTTGAAGCTGTAGGTCCTGCCAGCTTCCTGCAACTCCTGTCCCTGCCTGTAGAGAGCAGATCCACAGCACAGCTTGCTTGGAGCTTTCCCATGTGCTCTGCCTGGCAGCACAGCCGATCCCGGGGAT